AACACGGTGTCATCTCTATGGAGACGTTTTCAGCATTATGGAAACACGGTGTCATCTGTATGGAGACGTTTTCAGCATTATGGAAACACGGTGTCATCTCTCTGGAGACGTTTTCAGCATTATGGAAACACGGTGTCATCTCTCTGGAGAGACGTTTTCAGCATTATGGAAACACGGTGTCATCTCTCTGGAGACGTTTTTCAGCATTATGGAAACACGGTGTAATCTCTCTGAGACGTTTTCAGCATTATGAAACACGGTGTCATCTCTCTGGAGACGTTTTCAGCATTATGGAAACACGGTGTCATCTCTATGGAGACGTTTTCAGCATTATGGAAACACGGTGTCATCTCTCTGGAGACGTTTTCAGCATTATGGAAACACGGTGTCATCTCTGGAGACGTTTTCAGCATTATGGAAACACGGTGTCATCTCTATGGAGACGTTTTCAGCATTATGGAAACACGGTGTCATCTCTCTGGAGACGTTTTCAGCATTATGGAAACACGGTGTCATCTCTCTGGAGACGTTTTCAGCATTATGGAAACACGGTGTCATCTGTATGGAGACGTTTTCAGCATTATGGAAACACGGTGTCATCTCTCTGGAGACGTTTTCAGCATTATGGAAACACGGTGTCATCATCTCTCTGGAGACGTTTTCAGCATTATGGAAACACGGTGTCATCTCTCTGGAGACGTTTTCAGCATTATGGAAACACGGTGTCATCTCTCTGGAGACGTTTTCAGCATTATGGAAACACGGTGTCATCTCTCTGGAGACGTTTTCAGCATTATGGAAACACGGTGTCATCTCTATGGAGACGTTTTCAGCATTATCTATGGAGATCGCGTTTCAGCATTGTAGAAACACGGTGTCATCGATAGACTTGCTCATTCGACCGGCCGTCCACTCGTGACGTCACGCCAGCAAGACAACCTCATTCGGCCGACCCAACTAAGGAATCGATTCCAGACTGCCAGTTTGGCTGCTCGGGTCACTCCTGGCTTACGTCCAATCATGTTCCAGGACTGTACGGAACCGATTCAAAGGGAAAACAACATCCGACCCCGACGGCCTGCAATACGTCCAATTTTGCTCCAACGTCACCGACAGGCACGTCTTACCTGGTGCAGACGAGACAAGACTGGGATGGTGTTTTGTTCACCGACGTGTCGAGATATCATCTGGGAAGCTGTGATGGCGGAGCAAGGGCGTACAGACGGCGATGTGAGCGGTAGGCTGACGTGAACTTTGTTCAACGTCGGCAGTTTGGTGGCTATTTAAAGCGTTACATGGTATTGGGAGGAATCCCATCTCACGATGGGACACAACTTGTCATTGTCAATGGCAAACTGAGAGGTCTGCGATACAGGGATGAGATCAATGGATCTCATGTGCAACGTTTCATTCAAGGATACAGACGTAACGCAAGATAATGCCCGTCCACATGTCGATTGCTCGTGTTGTGACTGATTCCTGAGACAGTAGAACATTCCGGTACTCCCTTGGCTAGCTGTTTCCCCCGTATCCTCCCAATGCGTCCCCACCCCCACCCCACCCCCCATTTTTAGGCTGTTTTTACACATCTTACATAGGGCGACAACGCGACATATAGCTTTCTTCAATCTCTTAGTATCGTCTATGCGTCGTCGTCAAACCTGCATCAACGCCCATAGTGCACACACATGATACCGAATTTTAAACTGACTTTTGACACCACCTCTCTTCAAGGGCGTGTCACAATGGCTTGTGTCAAACCATACAGATTACGATATTATCCAGTCAACAGACAAACAGTGATTAAGGAAAACACCACAAATCATGTTATTTTCTTTTGGCATTAAGATATGGCATAAAATCAAGTAATGCACAGTTACTTTATTCCAGTAGTATACGTGTCAGGTGCGTCAGTTCATATGTCAAAAATATACGAACCTACACAATAGGTTAGATGATATCCTAGCTATTGGGAGTGCTATTTATGATTGCATGTAATACACGTACATACAGTACATACAGAAAGTACTGCTCTGACCTGGTTACATCAGATGGTTAATTTGGTTTATATTGATCTCACTTGATACATGCTCTAAAGGAAGCCAAGACATGATACATACACACTATACATGAAGACATATATGCACAATCTAGATATAAAATAACCTCCTATTCAATTCATTTTATTTCGGTTTTATTGGCCGTTTGCCCATGCACAATAAGACAGTTTACAATATAAAGAGTAGCAAATTATAAAGAGACAAAAAGCAGTGAACTTATTACAGGAGATGTATTTTCTAACAGCAATAGTTTCTGTAATATAACCGTTAAAATGTGTATGGGTATAACAGCTGCCAAACAAATGAAGAAATTTAGTCTGTATGCTATCCCCACCACAATAGGGAAAATATAAATTTGATCTCTAATAAAGGTGTATGCTGATCCAAGTGTGTGTGTGTGTGTGTTTGTTTGGGGTTGTTTTTTGTGTGTGTGTGCAAATTGCTTTGCTACATGTTTATTTAGGGTTATTTTTCAACATTTCAAATACCTTTTATTTTACGCAGTTTCATGTTATGCACAGTCACTTTTTCCGTTAGTATATGAATGAATGTATGTATGATGAGACGAGTTGTTAGGATAGATATTTTATATCCTTAAGATACAATACAGATGAAGAACGTTACACACTCTGTGTGTGTGGTGTGTAGTGTGCGTGCTTGTGTGTGTGTGTGTGGGGGTTACGACCCCCTAAAATCTCTAAGGACCATCTTGGGTACTTCTGGATTCGCCTTAGCATTCAAATACGAAATGAATTTCGTTTCTATTTGAGCCGAAGTCACACATTTTACATATGTTACTACAGTTAATATCCAATGTTACGTCTCAATGGAAGTGCATGCAAGTAAACAGATATGTATTCTAATTGCTATGTGAGTAATGGAAGTAACATAATATTCAACATTTATCATGTTTTGACTTGTTTGATATATCTTAGATAGAGATTTACTTAGTTTACCAGGAATACGCCGTTTATCACAATCAAGAAGTGTATTCTTGAAAACGGAAATGTGATGGAAAATATCGCCAACATCCTGACTGTATTATGCAAATCCGAAACCATAGCAACTGATGCTCAAGTTTCTGTGCCAGCTCAATCTAATTTCTTCATAAGTAAATAAAACTGTTTTGGATAACGATCACTGGTCGCCTTTAAAATAGCTACTTACGCCAATAGCTAATGCCCACTTAGCAACAATCCGGGGAGGTGGGGGTAGACTAGTGGTTAAGGCGTGCCCTCGTCACGCCGAAGACCCAGGTTCGATTCCCCACATGGGCACAAAGTGTGAAGCCCATTTGAAGCCTTGATTTTTGCTGGAATATTGCTAAAGGCAGCGTAAAACTAACTCACTCACTCACTCACTACGTAGGAAACCACATAAACATGTGATGTACCACAATCTGCTCAAACACCATTACCAGGGGCATGTTTCCAACACCAAAGACGAATGAGATAGAAATTACTTTCTCCTAGCGTAGGGGAATACAACAAGGGGTGTAATTCAGTTGTAGGTGGCGCCTAATGAGAGTATATAAGGCGTATGATATTTGAATTGTCATTCTCGCTTGTTGTGCACCAAGTATACATTGCGTCATGGATACTTCTGAATCTGGCAATCCCATTAACGACAAACTCGATGCCATTTTAAAGCACATGGACTCTTCTCAGTTGGATTTGGAACGCAAGATCCAATCTAGAATAGAGGCTAGTCTCGAGAGTGTGAGAGAAGAATTTGCAGAAAACCACAAACGAAATCCAGAAATTGAAGGCCGATAAAGACTTTACATGGTCTAGAGAAGGTAATAGAATCCAGTACAATTTTAACACAGAGACACTTGAGGCCTTTCGTCAGATTGAATTTGGTCTAGAGTATGAAAAGTTAGACTACATTAAAGAAGTTGTGCAGAGCGAGGTATCCAGGATAGAGAATCGTAATAAGTTGATAAGAATAGCTGATTCTTCCGAAGCTGGTTGGGAGACGGTACGTCACTACGTGTCACGTGAGTTGGCTGAGAACTCTGATGATGACAGGCGTATTACGCGAGCAGAAAACAAGGCTATCAAGAAGATCAAGGCCAAGAATCTGCGATCTTCACGTGGACACCCGTATAGGCCGATATCACGACCGGGGAGGTCAAAGGTCTGGAGCATGCTTTCACTGCGGTGACTTCTCACACTGGCGTAGGAATTGTCCCCTCTACGTCAGCAAACATGCCACGTCGGACAGACAGAGTTCAGCCTGATCAGAGTGGTTCTACTGATACGAAAGTTAAGTATCACAGTTTTTTTGTCAATCTCTCAAGGTTCCATCAGACAATCTGAGATTAACGACAGATTATTACGAGTATGAACAAGGACAGGCAGAAATAATGGTAAAAGGCAGATTGAAAGAAAATATTTCATTTTGGAAGTTTATCAATGCAAGTGATTTTGTTATTGACATCATTGATAATGGCTACAGAATTCCTTTTTTATTCACCCCCAGATAATGGACAGACGAAATAACAGGTCAGCGCTGTGCAATGGTGACTTTGTAGAAAGTGCTATTCATGATTTAGTCAAGAAGGGTTTGGTCGTTGTTTGTGACAAGAAACCTACTGTCGTTAGTCCTTTATCTGTTGCTACTCGGTCGTCTGGCAAGACGAGACTGATTTTAGATCTATCATTACTAAACAGACATGTTTGGAAATGCTCTGTGAAGTATGAAGACTGGAGAACAGCTCTTATGTACATAAACAAAAATGACTGGTTGGTGAAATTTGACATACATTCTGCCTATCACCATGTACATATTTTCGACCCTCATACTGATTTTTAGGATTTTCTTGGAGTGTTGGTGGGGACAGAACATTTTACAAGTTTGTAGTTATGCCTTTTGGGTTGATTAACTGCGCCTTACGTGTTTACTAAAATTACACGTCAATTGGTAAAAGTACTGGCGATCTCAGTCGTACAGATGTGTGACATTTCTAGATGATGGGATAATGTCTGGTGATAGTTTGAATAGTGCAAGAAGCATTGGGCTAGCTATCAAGAGTGACCTGATTAAATCCGGTTTTGTACCGAAGGTTGAGAAGTCGTTATGGGAGCCAAGTCAAGTTGTCGAGTGGCTGGGTCTTGTCATTGATACCAGAGTTATGATGTTGTCCATTCCTACACGGAGGCTGGACAAGCTACTGTCGTCTGTCCGATATCTGTTAGATCATCCAGGTAAAGTTCCGGTTCGATCTGTTGCTTCAGTTGTTGGCCAGATTATTTCCATGAAGATTGTAGCGGGTTCCGTTTGCCAGTTGATGACAAGCTCATTGAGTATTCAGACTCTTGAAGTTATTTCCTGCAGTGATTTGATTTCACTATCTCCTGGGAGTATAGATCAACTGATATTTTGGAAGAACAATCTGCATAATCACAAGGACTGTATGCTAGTAGAACAACGTGTGGTCACTAAAGTAGTATACAGTGATGCTAGTTCTAGTGGGTATGGCGGATATTGTGTTCAGCTTGGCCAGAGTGAGATATATGGACACTGGTCTACAGAAGACGCGAATAAGAGTTCCACATGGAGAGAGCTGATGGCGGTGAAGGTGGTTCTTCAAAGCTTGGCTGGGAGTTAGCCTCTCAGCGAGTAAAGTGGTTCACTGACAATACGAACGTTGAATCCATAGTGTGTAAAGGTAGCATGAAACCAGATTTGCAGGCTATTGCCAGATCTATATACGATGTGTGTTTATCTCATTCTGTGCATTTGGAAATGCAATGGGTCCCTAGATCACTTAATGATAAAGCTGACTTTTTGAGCAAGGCAATTGATCACGATGATTGGGGAATTTCGCAATATATTTTTAGAAATCTGGAAGATGTGGGGAAGATATGATGTCGACAGATTTGCTTCTCATTACAACGCAAAAGTGTCAACTTTCTGTTCAAGATTCTGGGATCAAGGATGTGTTGCAATAGATGCGTTCACTGAGCATTGGGGTGATACAAACAACTGGATTGTTCCGCCTGTGTATCTTGTTTGTAGAGTTCTGGCTCATATGAAGGTTTGCAAAGCTAAAAGGTACTTTGGTTGTGCCAGCGTGGTACTCTGCCAGTTACTGGCCATTGTTGTGTCCTAAAGGAACTTTCATACCTGAGGTGCTTGATTTCGTGTATTTACCCAGAGACAAAGGAAGCTTATGTACCCAGCCGGATTCCAGGGGGTATGTTTGGTGAGCGAGACTTAACCTTTGACATGTTGGCAATCAATATGAAATACTGATTTACTTATTTCTCTTTGCAGATGTCTTTGAGATTGCGTACGCTGATGACATTCATAGCCTTTCAGGATCAGGCAGAGAGTTGGTTAGTAGAATTCCAGATATTTTGCAATTTGCACGAGCTGCTTCTAACTAATAAGAAATATGATTATGGAATGCAGAGGTGGTTAAAGTGCGCGAAGTAATGGTATGCCTGTACATTTCCTATAAAACCTTTACATTGTGCCATTTACCTAGTTTCTGTGATGCAACTTAGCCATTCTTTTTCGCCCGTTCATGCGGCTTTTATAGCATTCGTCATGCTCATAGTATTATAGGCTTGCCCAGTCCCTACTGATAATCTTCTGGTGAGAAATGTGTTGGAGGCTACTAAGCGAAAGTTGGCTAAACCAGTGTGTAAAAAGAGCCTATATCTATCGATATATTAGAAAGTTTGGTTGATTTTATTCGGATACAGGATGTTTGAAAGATGTCCGCATTGTGTCAATGTGCCTGCTTGCCCTATGCTGGGTTCCTGAGATCTGCAGAGTTGCTCTGTTTGAGACGCATTGACATTTTGATTTATAAAGCTTATATGATGGTTTTCATTGAGAAATCAAAGACTGATATGTATAGAGACAGGGCATGGTTATTGATAAGCAGGACAAGTTCCAAGATGTGTCCAGTCATGTGGTTGGAGAAGTATCTGGCGTTAACGCAGTTTCCGAAGAATCACAAGAGTACTTGTATAGGAACATTTCAAGTGCCATGATAGGTTTGTCCTTAGAAAAGAAAATAGAGCTATGACTTATTCTCGTTTGAGAGAGTTGTTTATTGAAACGTTTTCTCCTTTCGCGGTGGTGCAAAAGCATAGCCATCCAATGTGTGTTATGTTATTTGTTGTATTGTGTTGCAAGGGCTAGGAGAAATATCGCCAACATCCTGACTGTATTATGCAAATCCGAAACCATAGCAACTGATGCTCAAGTTTCTGTGCCAGCTCAATCTAATTTCTTCATAAGTAAATAAAACTGTTTTGGATAACGATCACTGGTCGCCTTTAAAATAGCTACTTACACCAATAGCTAATGCCCACTTCGTAACAATCCGGGGAGGTGGTGTAGCCTAGTGGTTAAGGCGTGCCCTCGTCACGCCGAAGACCCAGGTTCGATTCCCCACATGGGCACAAAGTGTGAAGCCCATTTGAAGCCTTGATTTTTGCTGGAATATTGCTAAAGGCAGCGTAAAACTAACTCACTCACTCACTCACTACGTAGGAAACCACATAAACATGTGATGTACCACAATCTGCTCAAACACCATTACTAGGGGCATGTTTCCAACACCAAAAACAATATTTACAATTAGTCTGAAATATTTCAAGCTATTTTCGGTCGATGTGACCGGTGACCGATGACCGGTGACTAGTGACCACTGACCAGTGATAACGACTGGTGACCGATGACCGGCGAATAGTTACCAATGACTGGTGACAGCAAAACAGTCCCAGCAACAGTCCCAGTGCCAGTCCCAGCAACAGTCCCAGTGACAGTCAAAGCAACAATCAAAGTGCCAGTCCCAGCGACAGTCCCAGCAACAAACTCACCCAGCCCCAGACAAGGCGACAGTCCCAGCAACAGTCGTGCGACGCTAGTGTATCCGAGTGTGATTATACTCGCAAGTGTAGTAATGCTTGTGTAAATCTACGCTAGTGTATTAATACTTGTGTAAGTCTACGCTAGTGTATTAATACTTGTGTTAGTCTACGCTAGTGTATTAATACTTGTGCAAGTCTACGCTAGTGTATTAATACTTCTGTTAGTCTACGCTAGTGTATTAATACTTGTGTAAGTCTACGCTAGTGTATTAATACTTGTGTAAGTCTACGCTAGTGTATTAATACTTGTGTGAGTCTGCGCTATTGTATTAATACATGTGTTAGTCTACGCTGGTATATTAATACTTGTGTAAGTCTGCGCTATTGTATTAATACATGTGTCAGTCTACGCTGGTATATTAATACTTGTGTATGTCTACGCTAGTGTATTAATACATGTGTTAGTCTACGCTAGTGTATTATTACTTGTGTTAGTCTACGCTAGTATTATTAATAGATGTGTATGTCCACCTTAGTGTATTAATGCTTGTGTTAGTCTACGCTAGTGTATTAATACATGTGTTATTCTACGCTTGTGTATTAATACTTGTGCAAGTCACTGCTAGTGTATTAATATATGTGTTAGTCTACTCAAGTGTAGTATTACTTGTGTTAGTCTTCGTTAGTGTATTAATACATGTGTATGTCTACGCTAGTGTATTAATACATGTGTTAGTCTACGCTAATGTATTAATGCCTGGCTTTGTCTAAGCTTAGTGTATTAATATTTCTGTAAGTCTGTGCTAGTGTATTAGTACATGTGTATGTCTACGCTAGTGTTAATACATATGTTAGTCTACACTAGTGTATTAATAGATGTGTATGTCTACGCTAGTGTATTAATACATGTGTATGTCTATGCTAGTGTAATAATACATGTGTGTAACTACGCTAGTATATTAATACATGAGTATGTTTACGCTAGTGTATTGCTACATGTGTATGTCTACGCTAGTGTATTAATACATGTGTTAGTCTACACTAGTGTATTAATATATGTGTATGTCTACACTAGTGTATTAATACTTGTGTTAGTCTACGCTAGAGTATTATAACATGTGTTAGTCTACGCTAGTGTATAAATAGTTGTGTAAGTCTAAGCTAGTGTATAAAGCAACAAGTCTAAGGTAGTGTATTACAGTATTTGTGTTAGTGTACCTTAGTGTATTAATACATTTGTAAGTCTACGCTAGTGTGTCTACGCTGCTGTATTAATAGTCTACACACGCTAGTGTATTAATAATTGTGTTAGTCTACGCTAGTGTATTAATACATGTGTAAGTCTACGCTAGTGTATTAATACATGTGTAAGTCTACGCTAGTGTATTAATACTTGTGTAAGTCTACGCTAGTGTATTAATACATGTGTAAGTCTACGCTAGTGTATTAATACTTGTGTAAGTCTACGCTAGTGTATTAATACATGTGTAAGTCTACGCTAGTGTATTAATACATGTGTAAGTCTACGCTATTGTATTAATGCTTGTGTTAGTCTACGCTAGTGTATTAATACTTGTGTAAGTCTACGCTAGTGTATTAATACATTTGTTAGTCTTCGCTAGTGTATTAATCCTTGTGTTAGTATGCGTTAGTGTATTTGTATATGTCTGTCAGTCTACGCTGGTGTATTAGTGTATTACTTGTGTTAGTCTCCGCTAGTGTATTAATACTTGTGTTAGTCTACGCTAGTGTATTAATATATGTAAGTCTGCGCTGGTGTATTAATACATGTGTATGTCTACGCTAGTGTATCAATACATGTGTTTGTCTACGCTAGTGTATTAATACATGTGTTAGTCTACGCTAGTGTAATGATACATGCATGTCTACGCTAGTGTATTAACACATTTGTGTTAGTCTACGCTAGTGTATTTATACTTGTGTTAGTCTACGCTTTTGTATTAATACTTCTGTTAGTCTACGCTAGTGTATTAATACTTGTGTAAGTCTACGCTAGTGTATTAATATTTGTGTATGTCTATGCTAGTGTAATAATACATGTGTGTAACTACGCTAGTGTATTAATACATGTGTAAGTCTACGCTAGTGTATTAATACATGTGTATGTCTACGCTAGTGTATTAATACATGTGTTAGTCTACGCTAGTGTATTAATACATGTGTTAGTCTACGCTAGTGTATTAATACTTGTGTATGTCTACGCTAGTGTATTAATACATGTGTTAGTCTACGCTAGTGTATTAATACATGTGTAAGTCTACGCTAGTGTATTAATGCTTTGTGTCTACACTAGTGTATTAATATTTGTGTATGTCTACGCTAGTGTATTAATACATTTGTAAGTCTACGCTAGTGTATTAATGCTTGGGTTAGTCTACACTAGTGTATTAATACATGTGTTAGTCTACGCTAGTGTATTAATACTTGTGTATGTCTACGCTAGTGTATTAATACATGTGTAAGTCTACGCTAGTGTATTAATACATGTGTAAGTCTACGCTAGTGTATTAATACATGTGTAAGTCTACGCTAGTGTATTAATACATGTGTAAGTCTACGCTAGTGTATTAATACATGTGTAAGTCTACGCTAGTGTATTAATACATGTGTAAGTCTACGCTAGTGTATTAATGCTTGGGTTAGTCTACACTACTGTATTAATAGTTGTGTTAGTCTACGCTAGTGTATTAATACTTTTGTTAGTCTTCGCTAATGTATTAATACTTGGGTCAGTATGCGTTAGTGTATTTATACTTCTGTCAGTCTACGCTAGTGTATTATTACTTGTGTTAGTCTCCGCTAGTGTATTAATACTTGTGTAAGTCTACGCTAGTGTATTAATACTTCTGTAAGTCAATGCTGGTGTATGAATACATATGTATGTCTACGCTAGTGTATCAATACATGTGTTTGTCTACGCTAGTGTATTAATACATGTGTTAGTCTACGCTAGTGTATAATATACATGTGCATGTCTACGCTAGTGTATTAACACATTTGTGTTAGTCTACGCTAGTGTATTATAACATGTGTTAGTCTACGCTAGTGTATAAATAGTTGTGTAAGTCTAAGCTAGTGTATAAATACTTGTGTAAGTCTAAGGTAGTGTATTATATTTGTGTTAGTCTACCTTAGTGTATTAATACATTTGTAAGTCTACGCTAGTGTATTAATGCTTGGGTTAGTCTACACTAGTGTATTAATACATGTGTACGTCTACACTAGTGTATTAATACATTTGTAAGTCTACGCTAGTGTATTAATGCTTGGGTTAGTCAACGCTAGTGTATTAATACATGTGTATGTCTACACTAGTGTATTAATACATTTTGTAAGTCTACGCTAGTGTATTAATACATTTGTAAGTCTACGCTAGTGTATTAATGCTTGTGTTAGTCTACGCTAGTGTATTAATACATGTGTATGTCTACGCTAGTGTATTAATACATGTGTAAGTCTACGCTAGTGTATTAATGCTTGTGTTAGTCTACGCTAGTGTATTAATACATGTGTATGTCTACGCTAGTGTATTAATACATGTGTTAGTCTATGCTAGTGTATTAATACATGTGTTTGTCTACGCTAGTGTATTAATACATGTGTTAGTCTACGCTAGTGTATTAATACATGTGTTAGTCTACGCTAGTAAATTAATACATGTGTATGTCTACGCTAGTGTATTAATACATGTGTAAGTCTACGCTAGTGTATTAATACATGTGTTAGTCTACGCTAGTGTATTAATACATGTGTATCTCTACGCTAATGTATTGATACTTGTGTAAGTCTATGCTAGTGTATTAATACATGTGTAAGTCTACACTAGTAAATTAATACATGTGTTAGTCTACGCTAGTGTATTAATACATGTGTATATCTACGCTAGTGTATTAATACATGTGTTAGTCTAAGCTTGTCTATTAATTCTTGCCTCAGTTTACGATAGTGTATTAATCCTTCTGTTAGTCTACGCTAGTGTATCGTTACTTGTATAATTCTACACTATTGTATTAATACATGTGTTAGTCTACGCTAGTGTATTAATACATGTGTATGTCTACGCTAGTGTATTAGTACATGTGTATGTCTACGCTAGTGTATTAATACATATGTATGTCTACGCTAGTGTATTAATACATGTGTATGTCTACGCTAGTGTATTAGTACATGTGTATGTCTACGCTTGTTTATTAATGCATGTTTTGTCTACGCTTGTGTATTAATACTTGTGTAAGTCTACGCTAGTGTATAAATACGTGTGTATGTCTACGCTAGTGTATTAATACATGTGTAAGTCTACGCTAGTGTATTAATACATGTGTATGTCTACGCTAGTGAATTAATACATGTGTTAGTCTACGCTAGTGTATTAATACATGTGTTAGTCTACGCTAGTGTATTAATACATGTGTTAGTCTAAGCTAGTCTATTAATTCTTGCGTAAGTCTACGCCAGTGTATTAATACTTCTGTTAGTCTACGCTAGTGTATCAATACTTGTATAATTCTACACTATTGTATTAATACATGTGTTAGTCTACGCTAGTGTATTAATACATGTGTATGTCTACGCTAGTGAATTAGTATCTGTGTATGTCTCACGCTAGTTTAATAATGCATGTTTTTGTCTACGCTTGTGTATTAATAGTGTATTAATTGTGTACGTCTACGCTAGTGTATTGATACTTGTGTAAGTCTACGCTAGTGTATTAATACATGTGTACGTCTACGCTAGAGAATTAAAACATGTGTAAGTCTACGCTAGAGAATTAAAACATGTGTTAGTCTACATTAGTGCATAAATACAATGTGTAAGTCTACACCAGTGTATTAATACTTGTATTAGTGTACGCTAGTGTATTAACACTTGTATAAGTCTAGACTAGTGTATTAATACATGTGTATGTCTACGCTAGTGTATTAATACATGTGTTTGTCTACGCTAGTGTATTAATACATGTGTATGTCTACGCTAGTGTATTAATACATGTGTTTGTCTACGCTAGTGTATTAATACATGTGTTAGTCTACGCTAGTGTATTAATACATGTGTATGTTTACGCTAGTGTATTAATACATGTGTTTGTCTATGCTA